ATATCTTGAGTCTGAAGGTGCAGGCACAAATTAAAACTTGCCTCCTCTAGTCCAGGATTGTCGAACTCCAGGCCTCGAGGGCCGGTGTCCCGCAGGTTTTAGATCTCACCCTGGGTCAATACACCTGAATCAAATGATTAGTTCATTACCAGGCCTCTGGAAAACTTCAAGACATGTTGAGGAGGTAATTTAGCCATTTAAATCAGCTGTGTTTGATCAAGGACACATCTAAAACCTGCAGGACACCGGCCCCCGAGGTCTGGAGTTGCCCACCCCTGCTCTAGCCACATACATAAAACACAATTAGGTGGAACGTACCATCTGTATTCAAGATGGCGGGCAACATGGCGGCTTCCACAAACCGATGCCTGCTCCTTTTATTAGGGGATAAAGATGAGAACGAATCGGTTAGTTGGAAGATGTAATTACACACTAATCAGTGTAGAGTACAATATTCTTTTCTTTTAAATAACACTAAAGAGAAAAAAGAACACTCACCTCTAAATGTGCAGATATATTTTTAAAAACAGCACGATTAGATGGATATGCAAGCGGTGTTTGAGCTTCTGCTAACAATGCGTATGTGGATTTTCACTAAAGCTCTGCAAATTGATTTATAACACATATAGACTTTTAATGAGTGAGAATCAGATTAGAAGCTTATTTGCCCATTTTCTCATGTACTGTTCTTTCTGGAACAAAATGAATGTAATGTAAACTTCAGCGACACTTAGCACTTGGTACAAATAAGCAATTTCTTTCTTTCAGGTTTCATTTTATTTGAGCGATGAGGGAAAAACAGGTCTGACATGAGCACAATTTCAATATTTTATGCTGGGACAAAAGAAAGTGACGAGGGAAGTTCCCCTCGCTTTCATGACAGCTTATGAGAATTTTCAGACTCTGCGGGCTCACTTTCTTTCTTTTGTGCAACATGACGGGCCCCCGTTATTCAGTCACTAAGAGGTGCGAAATGAAAATGCCAATGAACAAAAGCGCTGCGCTTCCAAGTTAATATCCTAACATAACAACACTCCAGGGAATCGGTGATGGGTCTTGGGTGAATGGTAATTTAGGTGATAATATGAATTCTTTGGCAGTAGCAGACGTTCACCCAGCGGATCGCTAAATAAGAGCGAGAGAGCTCCCAAAGCTGCTCTATGAAATTGATATTTCTCTGAGGGGACTTTGCAAAGCATGCTGGATAGTCTCAAGCCCTGGCAGCTCTAGAAAATGAGCACTGGGTGACATAAAAAAAAGCAATAATGGAAAGAAAGGGTTTGAAAATTAAATGCCTCACCTTTCAATAAAAATGCCAGTGCTCCTTATTAGCGAGCACTGACATGCTCTCCAGAGAAGGCAGAGACTGCAATATGCTGGTTTTCATTCTGTAAAGCGAGCAAAATCAGTTTTCTTTGCACATTCTTACAGTCGTGCCTGCTTTCTCTCTTTTTGAAAGAAACTTTCACCGTGGCCATTTTTTGAGACTCTAATTAGCTGAACTGTACATGATGTTTTGCATCTGTTCAGTTTCATCAGACAGCCGTGCTAACGCAGCAGCCTCGCGTTCCTGCCAACTCCAAGAAACACAGATAAGGCTCCAGCAACAACAAACACCTTCCTCAGTCAATCACTGGCCAAACAATAGGCAGGGATGACGGGGAGAGGGCTGTCATCGACCAGCGGCTACCAGCAGCAACGAAGGTTGTTGTCGTCTGGATTCTTGAACCTTTGAGGAATGTCTGGCTTCAATGCCAACAACATACCTCCTGAGTGGCTTTGACTTTTCCCTGTTTTCTGTACCAAGCAGGTATTTTCCTGACCTTATCTCTCTTGGACTACACAAACAGACACACTCTTGAGCTTTCTAGACCTGGACTTGCAGGGTGTATGTTAAATTTGGGTTAAGGGTTAACCTAATATTTTATCCAGCGTGACACAAACCATGACTGAACCCATAAATTAAACATGAAAGCATTTAGAGAGGTAGTCAGAAAGCTGTTTTCCCATAGTTCCACACTTGCTTTGCTTTTCAAACATTTCCATCTTTTATATACAGTCTATGATTCCAAAGAAATACTATAGAAATAATAATGCAAAGCGTTGTAGTTCAGCATTCATTTCTGGTTCATCGCTTTCAAATATGTGGTCAGATACTTTAATATTAATATCAAAACACTTTCTATACCCACTTTTAAAAATACAATGAAGATTTAGCGGGCCCTATCTGAAGTAATCCTGTTTCCGTCTGTTCACCTGTCTCCATTGCTGACCTTTTGCCAGCTCATTCAAGTCTAGACTTACATCTTTCCTCCTGTAAATGTTCCTGTTTTGACGTTGTGAAATAAAGGTTGTGATTTAAATCGAATCCACTGGTCATGAGAACACATTTTCTACTTTTCTCCCAGTCCTTGATTGGTAATTTATAACTCATTGTCTGGGTATTGATTTAAGGAAATAAGTTATGGAACAGAAAGGGAAATATAAAAGAAGATTCAAGGCCCCAGTGCAGTGGGTGGAGTTCTCTGCAGTGATTGGCCTAACAGAAACACTAAAAATACACCGGTAAAACAAAAACAATGAAAATAATGTGTTGTTAGTCTGTATCGGTGCTCAGTGTACTGCATTCCTGCCTTTGTGTGAACTTAAGCCATATCCCCAGGCTTGCCTGAGTTTTCATTTTCATCAATAATAGACGTACAGTAAAAAAAAATGATATAGCTGTAAAAGTTTAAATAGTACATGAAATCAGAAACCTTTCTCAGTGAAAAGACACAACATGTGGTCTCCAGATTGCAACCACAAGTTTTACGGATCAGCCAAACTGGATTGCCAGCGTAGCGTCAAACCGCTGAGAGAAATGGACGAACTAAAGCTGTTAGATGCTTTTTCCAGTGCCAATATGTCCTTAAAGTGTTATGACAGACACCCCAACTTGAAAACTGAAATTATCTGTGAATGTCAGAGGACTACTCCTTTCTTCCAATATACACAAGGCTCTCAACCCCTTCAAAACTCCCCGAGCTGAAAACATTTCACAACAGCAACGTTTCTCCCATTGTGAGTCTGGTGAAACTGGACTCAAGAAAGTGAAAATTCTCTCCTGTGTTGTTTTATTTTAAACCAGGGCTTTTGCTCTCACTAACCCACAATGAGATCCCCAAGGAGGATCTAATATTCCACCTACTTCAGCCCTCCGAAACCAATAAATCAATCAGCTTTGCTTTACAAACCCTGCATGTGTGTTGCCCATTCACGAAATAGAGAGTCCCTGCTGTGGATCACAGTATTAAAACCATCCTGACTGACACAACAATGAGTGAGGCAG